ATGTGGTCATACAGGTAGAAGATACCGTTCATTAAAAAAAGCATAATCATAACCCCTTTACTGAGATTTTAATCAGAATTATCTTATTGTCTCATTTATGAAACCAATTGATATTTGTCATATGCCACTCTGACATTCACTTGGTATCATGGCAGTTTAATGAGGTTATAGTTTTTGACAGGAAGCCAGGAATGACCTTTAGAGAAAGACAGTCTCAGGGCTGAGCGAGTTCACACACACACACACACACACACACACAGCCTGCAGTCAGAGATCAGCCCGGCTTTACAAAAACACACTGGGGCTCCTTCATTTTGGGAAATTCACTTATTTTCACATCAAAAGCTGTTTTACCTCTTCAGAACTTTACTATACAATGTTGTTATGCAACAAAAATGTGTGTTTTATTTCTTATTTATACAAAATAATATAGAATACTAATTTCGTCCGTTTATCAGCTATAACATAATAGTTCATTTTAAGCCAACTTATTATGGAAATTTCAATTGAATTTCTTTATGCACATTGTTTTATGGCATCTTTACAGAGAGATATTGCAAAAAATAATTATTGACATTTTATTATTGACATTTGCAGTCAAAAAGCTAGGATTAAAATGTCCAGTATTTTGATTGGATAAGCCATTCAAGGCTATTTGATATTTGAATGATTTTAATTCCATTTAAATATGATGCGTTGCTTTCCAATGATACACAACCTAAGTGAATGGATTTGACTGTCATGATGACATGTAAAATAATCCGTTAAAGGTAGTTAAGAGTCTTTCATCTTTTTATTATAGCCCATTACCTGGTGAGATTTTTGTGCTCATCATTATTATGCCAGAGCAAGCATATAGCATTAAATTAATGAAATAATGTAGTAGTTAAATATTTTGTCGTTGCCATAGAAACGCAAACCGCTCAGAGTGAAATCTCAGAGTTGTCATCTTGTAATTACTGTAATTCAGACATGATGTTGACACAGCATTAGGCTTTAATAAACAGCAATACTTAGTGGAGAAATTGTTTTTGTGTCTGTTATCTTTAATACATTATATTATTTATTGAACATGTGTGACTTATTTTATTTATTTATTTAATATTTTATTTGACGACGACAAATGCAGAAAACATTGCTTTATAATGAATACAAAGGAGATGGCATGCATACAGGTTTCTAGCCATGACTAATTTGCAACCCCTGTCCCTGGTTAGGCTTTTAAAATTTAAAACAGAAATTACAGAGTATTGAATGTAAGATATATATAACTATTAAAAAAACATACAACAAATACTTATTTATTGCCAGTGCCACCATTTTATACTTGCGATTCAGCACATGGTTAACAAGCACAGTTGTACACACTAAAGTATATAGAATAACACTCAAAAAACCACGATGTCACAACCGTAACTTCACCACGTTTCAATAGTGACTTTTTCGATAGTGACAATTTTAGATACTTTAGAGCCTAGTTCAAATATGATAGCCAGCACATGGTTACCTAGCACATTTATCAAGAGTTGTACACGCATAAAAAAATAATTAATCCACACGAGCTCAGAGATCCACACGTTGATATGATTGGTAGTTTGTGACATCAGAAACTCCAGCGATTTCAAACTGCGATTTTGAGACGGTCTTTGGTTCATGGAAGTTTTAAGGAGAAAATACGGGGACATATCATGAAATTTTTTTTAAGTGCTATAATCAGGTCCCCAGTGCATCAACTAATCCAGAAAATGTGAAAAGTGACAACCCAGTAACTTTGTTCTGCAAGCATTTAAAAAAAAAAAAGCCAATCAGATTTCACTTCCCTTCTGACGAAGGGGATCTTATTATAATATTGCCAACCCTTACATGCACGTTTCAACCCACGGCACCGCCATTTGGTTTTCGCAAGCTACAACTAGTTCTAACGCAACTAGACCAGCACAGAACACTATTTGACCAAAAAAATGTTACAGCTGTCTTATAAAGACCTCAGGGGACTGTTTTAACTTGTATAAAAGTTAAACACGACGGTGCAAGTCGATGAGATGAATCAATGTAACTCCACAACTACTACATAAATTTATCCACTGACCATTCAGAAACGTCCAGGTGCAGTCTAAAAGTCACATTTTTGCTCACACACAAAAAGGGGCAAATTTAATATAAATTTACTATAATAAATGATCTGGGGGGTATTTTAAGATTACATTTCTGACACATTTTGGTGACAATAGATTTATATTACATCTTGAGAAAATGGGCGGACTATGTCTCACCTTTAAAGTAGCGTGGCCGCAGCTTTAACGTATATAACATGCTGATTCATTCTTCGATTGTATTATAATGTGGGAAAAACATTCAATTATGCCTGTTCTCTGTGTTTTTGACATCCTACCGTTCTCGTTTGGGCAATTATTATCTGAAAGTATTATGAAACCCTACAGTATTATGATATTTTATTTTAAGATAAATGAGGTTGAACAAGTATATCTCTTTTCAAGGATGATTGAGTAGACCCATAAGTTAGATAAAGGGAGTGAGGGAACATTGTTTTCATGTTTGTGGAGACTGGGCATCCGTATCTTGAAATATTCAGGCATGTACTTCTCAGGTTTCATCGTGAGACTGACCCATTTCTCTGAAAATAAATAATGGAGGGGAGACTTGGAGACCAGCACAAGACCTTAAAGAAGTTCCACCTTCTGCACCTATGTTATGAACCCAGTATTTCATATCTGAACATCAAAAAAACTCTGTATTTAGATAAGTAATACTCTCAATATCGGAATAGAAATGGTGGCTAGCAAACAATCTTAAAGGCTACTCACCCTCATGTGTTCCCAATACTTTATGACTTTCTTTCTTCTCTTAAACACATAAGAACATATTTTATGTTTTTGTCATGCAGTGAAAGTCCAAAACAACTCTAGACCCCACTGACTTTTAGTATGGGCAAAATAAAAAACACAAAAGAAAGAAATGCATATTGCATAGACATGAGTAAATGATAGCAGAATTTTCATTTTTGTGTGAACAATCGTTTTTATGCAAGTTGCATTACATGAATTTTTTAAGGGTATTTTTTATAATGTTGTAAATCATATAAATTGCAGCCCGAGCTCATGATGATAAAGGATTGTTCTCTTCTGTTCAGTGATCTGATAAGAAACTGAAATGAGGGCATAGTGATGTTCTCTCCGAGGGCTGCGTTGTTGAGGATTACTTGTGTTTTTCCTTGTTATTGTTCCTCTGTTGGAAAGTGATAATTGCTTTGAGTAATGCAGCCCAGTGAACTTTTCTCACAGAACATTTGTCACTGCAGACCTTGATGACTAATATAGAGGGTGCGTAAATTGAGAAGGAATGGTTAAGTTTAATCAGAACCTGAATCGTTAATTCCAAACAATTTCTATTATAGATTATTTTGGGACTTGACACCTCTTTTTAACACACACACACATACATATATTCACTCAAGAATCGTTAAGTTCCGATTCTTTGGCCACATATCAGCATAAAGATATCATGCGTTTCATGAGATATATAGTTAATGTGGTCTCTTTTCTCTGTGCTGCTCAGACGAAGGTGGTAATCTGAGAGAATGAGCATCAGAGATGGATGGATGTGGACGAGCAAGACAGGTTGTGACAGCTTGAAGGAAGAGTGACGTAAGACCTCTGCGCTCGACCAGCAAAATCAGCTTTCTTTGGCGTCTCTGTTCTTGAGATACTGGAAGCTGCGTTGCTGCATCATCATCATCAAGCCATCAGTACTTCACCCCGTTTGACTTATCGAGCGGAAACAGACAGGACTTTTTGTGCAAATGATGAATGAGAGCTTGAGCACCTTGAACGTCTGTAGCTCTAGGGATTTGTTTTTATTCTGTGCTTTTGCTCAGAGAAAATGAATTTGATTGTCTTATGCAAAGCCTCTTGGAAATTTCTTATACTTAAGGTGAGAGGTTAAGAAAAATATTAAACTGATGTGCAAACTCATATTATTTATGCTGTGGACATTTATGTCAGATAAAAAGACATAGGTACAAGACTCTGTACATGATGGATTTAATGAGAGAGAAAAACAGCATAGTCAAATTTAGGAGATTTTCAGTGTAATTTGGCCAAAATCTTATGTTATTATTAAAGGCAAAGTGCTAAACACAGGCTATATAAGATGCCAAATGCTAGACTCTTCTCCACTCCTCAAATACATTAAACATGTGTAGATTTTTTTTGTTTTGTTTTTTTTTTGTTTTTTACCCTTGCATTACAAACAAGCAGAGACCATACAAAATTTTTACCGCACTTCATTCACAATTGAGGTGGGGTGGAGTTCTTTGGTTTTACAGACAGTTTGATGATCCAATGGTGTTATAAGGTTTAGTCACAAACTTTTTTAAATATATATATTTTTTTTATTGGTTAAAGGGATAGTTCACTTTGAAATTAATTTTTGGTATGTTTTATCTTACCTCAAGGGCATCCAAGATGTAGTTGTCTTTTTTCCGCAGTATTTTCAATTTTAATATTTTTAGGTCAAACCGTTCTTGTCTGTCAGTCATATAATGGATGTCTATGGGGTTCACCTCAAAGAGCACGCACAGAGAAGTCCAAATTAAACATGATTTAATGACTCGTAATTGTAAGTACACATTGATGGCCTAAGACACGAAACGAGCGGTTTATGTGAGAAAACGAACAGTATTTATATTGTTTTTACCTCTTGTAACCACAGCCACGTCCATGTGATCTGAGGGTGTGGGCGCTTTAGTCTACATCGTGTTAAGTGCCTTCCCGCAACTAGCACTAAACCTCAACCACTACATCACACAACTCTCTGCATCACTGTCTGAAATGTCTAAAAGCATCCTGAGTGATTCTCAGCATATGATATCCAACATAACCTGCCTTAAGCACCCGTTCCTCGACCTGCAAGAAGCGGTTCCCTGTTCCCCCGTTGCTTAGCAGCCAAGCAGTGTTGATATTCTCACTGGCACTTCCTGTAAACACTTATAAGACACGAGCCTTTCTGTGCACAACAGCCCACTTCAGCGTGAGAAAATGGAAGTGTCTCAGTCGAGACTTCCAAAAATATCCCCTCTGTGAAAAGAGGAGACGTAGGCAGAGAGTAATGTACTTTCTCTCTCTCCCACCCTTCTCATTTATGAAGTACCACGCAGTGAACTCATCTTTCATTCAGCAGCAGAAGCCGAAAAATTGCTCCGTGTATCTGGCCCGACTTTTCATTCCATTACAGTCGGACTAGAATCCCGAACGCATCTCTGAAAAGGCATTTCTTTGGGCTACATATAAATGGGGGTAAATAATGCATTTGCCCCTTTCACCACTGCTTCTGGTAGACTATCTCAAAATGGCTAATTTGATGTGCATTTAGAGGGCTGGTGTTTGTGATGCCGTGGATATTAGCGCTGAGAAGCACTTATCGTGGCTGAAGCGGCAGTCGGCGCTTTAGATTGACGGCGGTTAAAAGGTCTGTGCCGTTTGTATAAAACTGTAGGCTTTGACTAATAGCAGTTATTCTGTGTTTCAGCACTGCTGCAGGCATCATGACCACAGCTAGGTACCGACCCACCTGGGATTTGGCCCTGGACCCGCTGGTGACCTGTAAGTTGTGCCTGGGAGAATTTCCCTTGGAGCAAATGACCACCATCACCCAGTGCCAATGCATCTTCTGCACCCTGGTGAGTAGTATCTAAACGGATTTCAGGTTTAAAATATATATATATATATATATATATATATATATTATTTATTTATTTATGTTTATTTATTATTTTATTTCTATCAGCATAAAATAAAATGAAATGCATAATAAATAACTTATCACATAACATAACATAAAAATAAGCAAATATTTTATTTATTTATCAAAATGAAATAAAATGATGACAGAATTTTATTGTATTAATTGTATTTAAGTTTAGAATAGAACTCAATGAGAGATTTCCACAAAGATTTAAAATAATGTGTGCTTTCAGCCATATTTTATGAATATTTCTATATGTCATTTCTGTCTTTAGGTTTCACTGCTATAGGAATGGAACGTCTAAAAATAAATGAGTGGGAATCTTACATAAGCCTCAGACATTTTGAAATGTGTCTATATAAGCACAGTTCACAGCTATAGACGTAATATCCACAGGCCAACTGAGCTGTTTTTTTTTTTTTTCTTTTTTCTTTTTTTTCAGAAATGTGATTCATTGTCCAGTTATAAACAATCTTATTCAACCCTCTGAGGTTGCTGTTCTGACTTTCCCTTTGCTGTGTAGTTATACTGATTTGAGACCAGTTTTATTTATATCTTGAGGTTGCAGGCAACATTTGGGGAAAGGAAGCTGCTAGAGTAGGGTAAAGGGAAAACATCTCCTCGTCTGACTCTGAGAAGCCTTGTCTTGCTTGTGTCTTCTTAGCTCACTAGAGACAAAACTGTCTTTGTGTCTTAAGCGAAGCATGTTTATGGAAACAACTCCCTCAGACTTTGCCTTGCCAAACATTCCTAAAAGCTCAAATACACAATTTAGTTTTTAGTGCTTTCAGATGAAAAGTATTTAATAATATTTTGTAATTGTTTTTTTTTTTTTTATATTTTATTATGAGAAAGAGAGAGATAGGAGGAGAGACAGAAAATATGACCTGATTTTTCTCCCGAAGCAAAAAATGAAATAATGAAATGCGTTTCGTTCACAGCCTATTAAAACAGTGAGTTTGCAAATTGCTAACACTGAAGGACAATTAGTCTTGGACAAGTGACTGCGCCTTCATTACATTGAGATGTTATACAGCGTAATTTTTTTTTGAGGAAGTTAACAGTACATTACAAGTGGTTTAGTGTTTCTGTACTCACACTCTCACAGACACTGAGCAAATTAAACACAAAATTAAAAGCAGAATTTGTTTACTCGTAATGTATTTTTCCATATTATCTATTTTATTAATTTATTTTTGTTATGTCTTATTATTCTTTTAAAGTGCCTGAAGCAGTATGTGGAAATTCTCATAAAAGAGGGCTTTGAAACGGCCATCAGTTGTCCAGACTCAGCCTGTCCGAAACGTGGACATTTACAAGAAAATGAGGTAATGTCATCATACACTCTATACTGTTCAAACATTTGAAGGGAAGTAACATCTGCATCCCTGCATGCTGAAGCCTATAAAGGCAGTTAGAACCCCCCTAAAATGCAAGATACTTGGGCAAAAATGCCCCTGTTTTTGCTTCCTATTTCATATGATATAGTTAAGCAATATCATAAACGAGTAACAACTGCAGTTTCACATGAGTCTTCTCTGACTGAGAAAAGTCAGAAAATATGGATGAAAGACAACAACTCCCAGAATGCACTGGGAGGCCACGCCTACCGGTAACAGAGCGCAGTAGTTAAACAACAAGTGTAGGCTACTAGTGAGTCTCTGTGATGAGTCTGCCCGAAAATGTGTTTCGAGATCGCCCAAAATGTCCAGGATTCGGCTTTTGCGTTCTACAGTCGCCCTTCGTTATGTTTACTGTGGCGAGCAGGACGAGTGAGGACCGTGTGGAGAACGGCGCGAGGCCGGTGGCGTGATTACCGATGAGCGACACCTGTGAGACGCACCGGTCTCGAATCTCTCACGGAGGAGCGGGAATTTTCTTAGCAATGTTAAAATGCTCATCAACCGATCACTAGTTTAGCGGTCATGTAAACACTACATTCAAATTCACCAATCAGAATGAGTTCAGTTAGATTGAAACAAAAGCTGTGCATTTGAACAATGAATGGCAACTGCAGAAAGCAAAAACTGAATCCCGGACCTCGACGGCAGGACATGTCTGGGAAAAAGAGGATGGTAACCTCTACTAATCGGCTATCTCCACAGAACAAGAGCCTGATAGCTTAGCTTCCAAAAAAAGATGGCTGACACTATGTGTTCATTCTTTGAGTGAGATCCCACCCTCTATGGGCGGGTTGAGAACATGCAGGACAGACCCTACTAATGACTCTAGTCTTTAGCCTCTGGTCAAAAAATCCCCCGATGACGCAAAATGACGATTTAAATTCATAAATCTCTCGTCTCAGGGGGAAATGAGGGTGGAAAGCATGGTGATTTGAAAATACTACAAGTTTTCTACTAATACAAAGCTCAATGCTAAACCCTAAAGTATCCCTTTAAGCATCAAAACAGCATATTAGAATCATTTCTGAAGGATCATGTGACGCTGAAGACTGATGTTATGATGCTGAAAATTCAGCTTTGTCATTACAGTTACATTTTAAAATGTATTCACATAAAAATTCAAAATTATTTCATAACATTGCCGTGATTATTTCCATTTCAAAAACATTACAAAGCCTTACAAAATTACCAAACATTTGAACACGTACATATTCCCGCATTTTGCACAGCTTTTTAATGCTTAATATTTTGAGTTTTGATAGCTCAGTACAGCATTAATGTCAGGGACTTATTCATTTTACTATTAGTGTTTTTAAACAAAGGGCCCTTAAAGAGATAGTTGACCCAAAAATGAAAAGTATCCCAAACTTCACTCACCCTGAAGCCATCCTAGGTGTACAGTATATGACGTTCTTCTTTCAGACGAGTTATATTAAAAAAGGGTCCTGGCTCTTCCAAGTCGACTTGCGTACGGCCGTCTGCTGGAAGCCAGTGGTTTTAGTCAATAAAGTTTTAACACAAACGTTTCGCTTCAGAAGACTTTTATTAACCTCTCAGAGACACTTTGAGCATTTTTATCACAGATAGATGCGCTTTGGTGGACTTCCAAAAAAATACACCCATTGACACCCATTATAATGCTTGGAAGAGCCATACAACTCCAATTATGTTTCGTCTGAAAGAAGAAAGTCATATAAGATGGCTTCAGGGTGAGTAAATGTTTTAATTTTCATTTGGTGAACTATCGCTTGAAGATACAAATAATATACAGAACTATTAACTGATTAATAACTGTGTCTAACTAATGATCTGTTAAGCATAATATAATGTAGTTATGGTAATCTTGGTGGGGAGTCTGAAAAGGATGAGTTTGTCAGGATTAAATGGGTTTTAGGAACTCCAGTGTAATGCAGTTTTTTTCTACAAAACCTGCAATAGTCACAGCTTCTAAAACAACAAATACTTTACCGTCCACATAAAAGTCCTAAAATGGACCTGCATCTCATCAAGCTCTTTTAGCATAAAATGGATGCTGAAACCTCTCCCGTCCGTGTCTTGCACCACGAAATCCTTCCAAGTATGAGGTCAGTCCGAGGGCAGGGTTCCTCCTCGCCGCTGTAGGCTCATTGTGAGGATGGTTGGCTCTTTCAGTACCAAAGCAGCTAAACCAGATGAACCAAATGCAAAGCATCAGATCAACTAATGTGCTGTTTTTGGGGGGCGTTCCTTACCAAACAAAAATTCAACATGCTGTGTTGTTTAATCTCAAGACAGTAATTAGATTAGAAACTGTATTTGTTGTTGGATGTGTGTTTACCCAGGTCAAATTGAATGCTAAATGCAATATCTGAAAAGCAAAGAGTGCCTTTGTATCCATCCAGATTGTCTAATAATGGCTTTTATCCACTTTCCCTCTCAGATTGAATGCATGGTGGCCACAGAGATAATGCAGAGGTACAGGAAGCTGCAGTTTGAGAAGGGTAAGTGGAAAGAGGCTGTCTGCCTGTCCATCAGGCGCTGGTGAGGCACGTGTGCCTGTGCATGTTGATGGTGAGCTCCATGCTTGCTGTCCTAGATGAGTCGGAGTGACTCGCTGTAGATAAATAGGCCAGTGCAAGTGTGAGGATGAAAGGGATGTGAGTGGACTCGTGTAGGTCCAGCTGACCTTATGCTGTCACAGAATGGAGGCTTTTACCTTAGGCTGTACCGTCTGTTTTTCTTCAACGAGAGCCTACCACCTGCAGACACCTTATTTAACTGTTCCTCATTATGTTTTCTGATTATCATTTGCACAGTTTTTTTTTTCTTTCTGGAAAATGGCAAATCAAAGGCTCAACATTTTGAAACTAGTGCTGATCAATATGCCACTGCCCTGACTTTCAATTTTTATCTTTAAAAAAACTATTTCCTGTGACTGTGCAGGATTCCAATTCATTAAGTGCTAGAAGACTAACAAAGTGCTGTAAATGGTATAACTATTTGCACTACAAAACATTGTGTTTATGCTTAATATTTAAATAAAATGATAACAAGTACCAACATCACACAGATGTTTTTTGTAAAAAAAAATAATAATAAAAAAAAATGGATGCAGTAATAAATAAATGGACCTGAAGCCTTGGATCTGCAAGTTACATTAAAAATAATGTGGATTACAGTATGTGTTTGTGAAGAGGTAATATATGAGTGTGTAATGTTGGGCTGGTCAGGATGATCACAAACAAACAGCAATGTTTTGATGGTATTGATTTGATAGTGCAAACAAGTTACAACTTAGCCTTGTAATGTAAAACTTGCATACTATTAAACATTTTTGCATTGCACCAACCAAGATAATTATAAAACATCAGATTGATTAAATTGTTTCAATAAGCTTGTTTTAACTGACAGACTTAAATCCCTAAGACGTGTGATGATGTTGACATTTACACTAACATGCAGAGATCGAATAATTTTTAAATGAGAAAAATAAGAAAACGGCTCCTTTTTATTTCTTTCGATATTATATATAAAAAAAAACAACTGAAGAATGATACACGGATTCACGAGGGTTAAGAATAAATGGTGTAACCAAATTAAGCATAGAGTTTCAAACTACTAGTAGTTAATAAACCTCTAAAGTTGACTCCTATTTTATAAATGGCTGTGTTGGAACCCTATTCTGTCCACTAAGAATTATTTATGAACCCAAGATAAACTGTAAACAGCTTTAAAATCCAAGATAAAAAATTACCAATGGCTAACAATTTAAAATGTGGGAGGGAAACCTTCATACCTTTGGCACATTTTCCAGGGCATATATCTTCATAATTCAGAGTTTAAAGCATTGCAAAACTTCTATGAAAATTACAAGTGTGAAACCCAGGGTTAAAATAGACTTAACCCAGGATCTTAAAAAGAGTTAAGTGTAAATGAAGACTCTTTGTGTTTCCGCTCTGTATCCAAATGCTGACCTGAAATGCTTTTTAATTTGAACAAATGTAGCTTCTAGTCAGAAATCTCCCAGATTAAAAGACTAACAAAGAGTAACTTAGACTATTGCTAATTGGATAGGCTTGATCGAAAGCATGAAGGTTCCCTTAAACAGATAAGACCTGAGGATCTGTGCCATAAACCTGCCATATGAATCTTCTCTTTCATCATTTTCTTCATTAGGGGATTCTGGACTCTGATAGTCTCCAGTTGTTTGAACCACAGGACACATTTGCTTCAGAGATATTCTCTGCCCACCCCCTCAAGTGTGTTACATTAGCTTATTTTCAAAAATACATAATGGAGGGAAATAATGTAGTTCCGCGTTGCACTTGTTCCGATGCTATCTAGCCCTTGTTTAGAACTGGCATTAAAATGCCTCGAGATTACTCGATCAGATCACAAGTAGACGAGGGAGGCACATTCCCATTTATACTGGTGTTTTAACTTGTCTCTTTTGTCCACTTTCAAGCTCTTCTGATTTCTTTGAGGTGGGTAAATTTATGGCGGCAACACCCTCATAAATGAGAGATTTACATAGAGAGTAGGGATGCACGATATATCGGCCAGCGTATCGGTATCGGCCGATATATGTTCATTTTTAATGTTATCATTATCGGCCTGGTAAGAAAATGTGGCCGATATATTAAAGCCGATAAATAATGTATTATTCCCTTCAGCTGAGACACTTGTTGAGCACTGTTTATGTTTTTGAATTTCTTGAAATATGATTGAAATCTCTTGAAAAATGTGCCGCGCAAATCTGTCATATCGGCTATACAACACTATAATGAGAACATCATTATAATTGTGCGCTTGGGACATGGAATTAATTGTGAGACTTTTGTATTTGTAATCAGGCTCTCAAAATTAGATAAAAATTTGGATTTAAGTTTATCGGCCGATATATCGGTTATCGGCTTTCAAATGTAAAGAATTATCGGTATCGGCCAAAATTTTCATATCGGTGCATCCCTAATAGAGAGAGTATAAAAATGCGTTAATTTAGTCCATCAGTGTTCCGGGAAACTGGAGTGGAATGGGGGTTATACATATACACACTCCTGCATGGCCTGCCGTGTCAGATGGAGAGGCTGAGCGCGAGTGTGTTTGTGAGAGATTTGCAGTGCACGTGAGGACAGACAAAAATGCATGCCATCCCTGGAACAAGACCGCAGATATTATTGAAAGTCCTCTTTCTAACATAATTGCCCCCAACCACACATTACATAACCATATAGCCATTCAGTGTGCCACTAACTGACCTTAAATGCATTTATCAGGCAGATGAGCAAGTAAAACCATTATGAAATGGGTAGTTGCATCTCTAAATTGAAATGAATATTATAGAGACTTGGAGTGGACTGTTTTTTGGTGTGGATCAGTAAGCAACTCGGGACATCCTCAGAATCACCTTACAAGGCCCTAGCAGAATGAATTAGCAACTGCATAGCTACACCCAGACATCCAGATCTTTTGCACAAACAAGCACCGCTCATGTTTTATCAGAAGACATGAATCTAGCTACAACTTAATGTAATTATTTATTGAACAATGTCTCCACCACCTATTGTGCCCAGTCATAAAATCACTGTAACGCACAGGCCTCATGCAGCTTTTTGCTGTAATGAAATCTAATTTAACTAATGAATTTATGCAAAGCTATGATAAGTAGCAGCTCTGGGATCTCGTTCCTGAGGGCAGATGAGGCCGAAGCTGCTCTTTTCTATTACCCCTCCATCTCAGATGGTGTAACCATGGTGACCTGTCAGCCTGCATCAGCTGGAAGCAGCCTAAAATAAACGCTCACGGAAACTGTGTCTGATCTCTCATCTCTCACCCCCCCCCCCCCCAACAGAGGTGTTGCTGGACCCGAGCCGGACCTGGTGCCCGTCCTCCACGTGCCAGGCCGTGTGCCAGCTGAAGGAGTCTGACACGCCGCTTCCGCAGTTGGTGCGGTGCAGCATTTGCACACTTGAGTTCTGTTCCGCCTGCAAGGCCAGCTGGCACCCGGACCAAGACTGCCAGGAGAACGTTCCCATCACCTCGTTTCTACCTGGAGAAAGCAGGTACTGTTGTCGTTTAAAGCTACACTGTGTGATTTTTACCCCCATCTAGTGGTGAAAAGGTATATGACCATCCAGTGAATATTAGTTTCTGTTCCTCTCAATTCCGATTTCGTTTTAACTCCTACGGTGGCCAATGTAGTCCAAGATTAACATGTCTTCCAATTTGACCTCGTCCATGAGTGTTAACTCAAACGTAAACGCGAAAGGCGAAGCTTGAATTAACGGGTATGTCCCTCTTTGGCTAATGTACTTTCAAGATGGTGGGGCAACATGGCGACCGACATTAGAACCCCTTACCCGTATGTATTTTCAATGGCATATTATACATTCACGAAAATACTTTATTACTTGAACGAAGTAAATATACATTAATGAGCACATATATTTTTGAAAGAACTAAGTGTTTTTAGCTAAGAATAAACTAAAAGAGTTACACAGTGTAGCTTTAAATGTGCTTAAATGACAGCACTTGTGGCATAATGTTGCAAAAAGCAAAAACCTTGAGGCACTTCAAATTAAACAAAACTGGAAAGTGTTAACATTTTTTTAGTGTGAAAAAAAAAATGTAATATCCAATATTACAACTTTTTTTTTTTTGCCATGACAACATAATGCCTTAAACTGACTGTAAAGTGACCAACCAAAAATAAAAGGGACCAACTTTAATAATCAAGCTTTAAGAGAAGTATTAATGTAAGGGGTTTTATAAAATTGTACATTACCATTCAAAAGTTTGGGGTCAGTAAGATTTTTGAAATAAATTAACATTTTTATTCAGCAAGGATGCATTCAATTGTTCAAAATTGACAGTAAAGACATTTAGGCCAGCAAGTAAAAAGACATTTTTATTTCAAATAAATGCTGGTCTTCTCAACTTTCTATTCATCAAATAATCCTGAATAAATAAATACAATTAAAATAAAATAAAATTGATATTATTGATAACAATTAGAAAAAATTTTAGTAATGCAGTAATGATGCTGAAAATATATTTATTAATATTTTACAATATTACTGTAATGCTTAGATCCACAGAAGATGAAGTTGATTATAAAAGAACATAAGATTTATCATGAACTCAGAAATAACAACCAACATACGAAACAGACCACAACCGACACTGAACTGAGGGACAAAAGGAACTTAAGTAGTGGTACAACAAGGTTTATAAGGAGACACAGCTATACAGGAGGACCAATCATCGGTAACCATGACAATTCATAAGTGGCGGGAAACTAGACAAAGGAAACATGTGATTGAATGAAAACAAAACAAACTAAACGTGACTGTGACAAGTCTTGGAGAGCATAGAAGACTTCTTTCAAAAACATTAAATAACCTTACCAACCCCAAACTATTGAATGGTAGTGTAAGTTTCTCATTTCTGCTTTCAAATGATTTCACTGCTTTTCCACTGAAAATTGGCTCCATTTACTTTATTTGTCTCATGTAAACCTTTTTCTATAAAGAAAATAAGGGACGAGTACATTTTTTTATTATTTTTGGGGGTACACTGTGCCACAAATGCTGTTGATTGAGGTTATCCTTTTTCCTTTAAGTCTTTTTCATCTTGTCTCCTCCTCATTCATCAGCAGATACGCTTCAGTCTAGTTTTGTCTCTTTGATGTGCGTTTAAACACTCCCATCCTCCCTCCTGGTTAGGTATGTGTATCCACTATCCAGCTGTCATGATGAGGCATACAGTGTAATGATGTTCGATGTTGATAAGTCGACATTAGATTTGAAATAAAATACCTCAATCTGTCAGTTTTTCTGCCTTATTGAACATGCTCATCATTCAGTCGTAGAATGGATTTTCAGCTTCTAGATGTTGAAGAGTGATTTTTTTTTTCTCTCTCTCTCTCTGCTCAGTAAGCCAGAGATGCATGCACAGGTGTTATTTGACATTCATGTCACACGCACACTTGATTCCAAAGCAAAAGCATCATTGAGTGGAGTTTCTGATCCTTGATCTTGGGTCTTACACGAGTGAATACTCAGCCAGCTCTGAAGTAAATTGCTTTACTAATACTCAAAAGAGCCTTTCAAGTTTACAGCTCAATTTCTATATCATTTCATGTTTGAGATTGCACCTAAACTCCTAAGTATATCTCAGAGTGAGAGAATCAGTCTTTAGACAGCATGAAATCAAAGTGGATCTTTCTGTCTGGCCCAGTACACAAGAAAAATAATAATAATACTATTCTGTATACATGTGCATATATATATATATATATATATATATATGCTATTTTACTAAAAAAAAATACTATATTTTTCTTACTGAGTTGTTTTGTACAAAAAATTATATTTTGCAACAAACAAGAAATTATGATAGCGTCATTGCTGGAAAATCATAGCATAAGATGCAAAATATCACTGATTGGTTTGTAGTTTTTCACATAACAGTTAATGACTTTGACATTTATGCTATTTTTGTGTTAGTCAGTTATATTGGTGATTAATCATCAGAATTTGCTATAGCAATGTGGAATACATCACAGAAAGCCAAACACTAAGTATACAGGGCATCAAAAAAATGGATCACTGAATGTAAAACTTTTATTGGCTACTAGCCTAAATCTCTCTCACACTGGCCCCGGGCCAGCAGCCATCCTTGAACTATAAAATAATATTACTAATATAGTTTGCTTATGAATAATATGCCCGCTAATAATAATAATGATAATAGAATCAAATCTGATGGACAAAATCAAGTCTCACTCCACATGATTCTTTGATGAGTATTCCATAAAATTGTGAAATCATGTTGTACTTGTGTGTGTGCGCTAGTGTGTTTGTGTAGAATATATTTTAAAATGTATTTTAACACTTTTTTTTATAATTTACTGAAATTTCAGTAACATTAATCCAGTCTTCAGTATCACACAATCCTTCAGAAATCAATCGAATATTGCTGATTTGATGCTCAAGAACATTTAATATGGTTTAATATTTTAATATACTGTTTTTGTGGATGCCGTGATACTTTTTTTTGGAATTCTTTGATGAATAGAAAGTTCAAAAGTGCAGTGTACAGTCTTTACTGTCAATTTAATCCATCCTTGCTAAAGAAATGTTTTTTTTTTACCTTAAACATTTGTGTGTATAACTTAATCAGTAGTGTATAGTCAAATCAGAAATAGTCATATTACTACTATTATTGTGATTATTAATAGTACTTGCTAAACTGCAGTGTTGCAGTACTGTGAGTCAGATGCAGGAGCTCTTGCTGTTTAACGGGCTATGAGAGGTTTGCTGCACAGTGTCACTTCTCTTAGATCAATAGACTGGGAATTGTCCTGGAAATGAATGGGCTTGTACTTGTCAGCTCGGTCCCTGTGGGTCAGCCTCTTCATTACCAGCGAACACTGTCCCTGGCTCACAACATTTTAGTACATAGAAAAGAGATGGGCCTGTCTGCGTGGAAAAAAAATCGACTGTAGATATCTGTACTAGAAATCGAATTTACCAATACCGTATTTTCTTTTTCGTCCTGTGTAAAGGGATAGTTAGATGCACTGATAATAAAATTTCTCAGCGAAAATAATAAATTATACAGATTATTATTATATCACTGATTATTCAGAATTATATCTGCCGATACCGATAATTTGCTTTTCTTACGAGGAAAAAACATTCTCTCTCAACTAATACTGTAAACTGTACTGGGAACCCATTTATTTGGTACATTACTATAATATTAGTTAATATTAGCCGAAAAGAAATTAAGGTTTTTGATGAAAACATTCCAGGATTTTTCTCCATATAATGGACTTCAATGGGAACCAAACTGTTCAAGGTCCAAAAGACAGTTTCAGTGCAAATGATTCCAGACGAAGAATCAAGCAAAACGATCGCTCATTTAAAAAAAAAAAAAACAAAAAAAAAAAAAAAAAAAAGTTTAAGTTTTATAAGCTCAAATGCTCACCTTGCTCTGTTCTGTGATGCGTGTTTGTGACTCCTGTTCGAACTCGTTCATCAAAATGAACGAATCTTTTTTTCGTGTCATTTGGTTCATTCAACGAACGAAATGAACGAATTGACTCGGAAAAAGATTCGTTCATTTTGATGAATGAGTTCGAACAGGAGAGTTGCGAACGCGTCTTTTGGACCGTGAACCGTTTGGTTCCCATTAAAGTGCATTATATGGAGAAAAATCCTTGAATATTTTCATCAAAAACCTTAATTTCTTTTCGACTGAAGAAAGAAAGACATGGACATCTTGGGTGACATGGGGGTGAGTAAATTATCCGCAATTTTTTTTTTTAAAGTGAACTACTTCTTTAAGAG